TGCACCTATAATAAACGGTATATACATCGATACATTTGCAGAAAAAATCCTCTTAAGTCAGCCCAGACAGAATGGAAATGTTTATCCAGACGATGGGCCACAGTAAAGGTCTCCCCCCCTCTAGAACAGAGGACCTATAACACAGCCAGACAACACAATACACACTGTTTCCAATGACAGCTTCCAACACCACTGTTAAGACAACTGTGCAGTGCCTGGGTTTTCACTTAACGCTCAGCAAAATGGTCAAACCAGCAAGAGGAGAATGCAGTTACGCTCCGTTAAATAGTTAATGAACTTGGGTCAGAGTATTACACAAAACAATTATCCTGATTCTAAATTAAGAGAAATAAAATATCACTATGTCATGGTATACTGGAAATACTAGTGACATTATGAGGTCAGTCCATCCATCATATGTGACAGGATATCTGTTGATTATTATAAAGCAATGCTTACATGGCTGTATATTTTATAAAGGATTTAAATGTGAACTATCCCTACAGTGTTGGCTATGTCACAAGGTGAATGTGAGAGTGAATGAGTGAAATCAGCAGCTACTGTGTTTGTTTCTTGGCACACAAACTGCTGCACGGACGTATCACTTGACATTCTGCTTTGCTGATCTGTCACGCATAAAATGTAACGCCACTACACCGAGAAACACTACAGAGACCAACAACAATTTAAACAAAAGGGGTCTTGTGTTTCAGGTGCACTTGTAGCCTTGTGAAAAAGACTGCTGCCCACTAAAGTTACTGCTGCGTGTGACACTAAGGATTGAACTGAGCGCTGTATTGGGAGCTGTGTTCCAGGTCCCAGACAGTTTAAGAGGCAATGAAAACACTTGTCTAGAACATCTCCCTTTCTCATGGAGGGCCCTTTGCACAGCTCCCCACTGGAAACCAGGAAGTCAAGGTGCTTTAACTTATGGCATTATAACTGCTGTGTCATTAAAAACAGGAGCTCTCAAAAATGGTAGCAGCAGGGAGGGAGGGGTACACAGACAGGAAGAGAAAGGAAGAAAGGTTGAGATAAAAGCACAAAATGAAATATGGGCATGATTTATTTAACACAGTTATACTTTTGGACTGTTCACAGCACAACTCCCATTTCTGTGGTGGCTATAAATTCACAAATATAAGTTATAGCATGTAAGCTTATGTATATACAATATAATACGGCATGCAATGAGATATGACCTTCTGGGTATGAAGGGTATTTATGTAATGTTTAGGAATGTGTTTTTCAAAAATTGTATCCAACACTACTTTGAGAGGTTTAAAAAAGGCTGTTTTCCCTAAATTTCAATAGATCAAAAAGCTTCACTTCTAATTTGATTCTGCCGAGACTTAGAGATGGCAAGTGTTTAGTAAACAACAGTGTGCAGACAGAAATGTCATGGCCTTTAACAAGTGCAAACAGAGAAAGTGTTGCTAAAAACATAGCTTATGGTGAGGAATGTCAACAGTGAACATTTCAAAGCAGGGAATAATTGCTTCAAGTCGACTGTAATTGGTTTGTCTTTAATCTGCCCTCTCTCCGCCGCTCACATTTTACAGTTACCAATTAAACACAGTTGTTACTTTTGTTAGTGCTCTTTCTGTAAATACTACAAGTGGAACGATGATCCAGTAAAAACCTTGTTATTTGTTCTTCCACCTACTCTCCCAGTTTTGCTCATGATAATAAGTACCACAGGGATCTTTTTCTTACCACAGTGAAAAAAGTTGGAGCTTCGTGCAGGAACTTCTTTGACCTTTTGCACAGGCTGCTTGCTTTTTAGGGCTGCTGAAGCACTTACTGTGCTGTCAACAGCGATGTGTTACTGTGACAACCAATGAATTCGGTTATTTTTTTATGCTTTAAACAACGTAATAGAAAGTTTTGTAATACCGCATGGAATAAAAGCATAAACAAGGGGTGGACAAAATAAATAAAATAAGCAGAAATAGTCAGTCATCAGTAGTTCTATTTTCTGTCTATCTTTGGACCTCTGTACTGTAAATGTTCTAATGTGGGTTTCATGACTCAGTTAAAATAATTGATTATTAGAGGAAAAGTCAGTGGATCACCAAAGTCATTACAATTTATCCTCAAGGGAACTTGAATATCTGTAGCACCTCCAGTAGTAGTTCGATTTAACTCTGGACCACAAATGTGTGCCCCTGCTGGATGGCAGTTTTCTTAATTGGTGATTCATTATTTTGACTCGGAAAAAAGATTTCATCCATTTTCCACACTTTGAAAGTATCTTGAATATATACATGTATAAATGGTAATAAATACATTTTGAAAGAGAAATAACATTTTCAAACCCCCATCAGACCTCTGCAGTTTGTGAAAAAACATTCTTAACTACAAAAACATACAGTATGAGACCTCAGCTCAGCTTTTCACGTCATCAACCAAAGAGTTATGATTTCAAAGAACTATTTTAGAAAGATTATAAATGACACAGATGTTCTGTGTTAAATTAAACATAACGTCTGTGTTCATTCAATTTTCTGAGACAAACAACATGCAAATGGTTGTCTCAAAATGAAGAATGAATATCACTAATGAGCCCTTCATTACCTTTTTGGCTCCTGTGTGTTTGTAGCATTTCACCAGGGCCGAGTATATAAGGCTTACAGGAGTACCAGATGGCACAGGCACCTCTGAAAAAGTGACCTCACACCCTTTCCCACTGATAGGGTGATAAAGGCATACAAGCTCTCCCCTGGGCCAAAAACGCAAGCCTCCAAGGAACTGAGTCCAGGTCTGGAAGCCCTCCGAGCCAGGTGTGAGGGGCCCAGAGAGGGGCCTGACCCCAGCCAGGCAGACCCAGAAAATCCCCACATCACTGAGGGAGCACTAACTGGCCACAGACACCTCCAGGGCTTTGAGAAGGCGGAATGAAAAAGTGAGGAAAAAGAAAAAAGTGAGATGGTGTAGATTGCTGGGAGAGCTGCATGAACTACCATTTACAATGACGGCAATGTTCCAGAGAGCTAAGGCTGGGAACCTGTTCCTGTAAAATGCTTGCAGACTGGTGTGCACGTGTGCCTTTTTCATCTACAAAAAGACCCATAAGATTGATTTTTATTCTTGAAAGAGAGAGATTGTTTTGTCGGGAGATTTTTAATGCACACCAGACGGATGGGTTCAAGGCTGCATTCCTATTTCTTTTTTTTTCTTGTACTGGCCTCAACTTGAAAGACATTGCAGCAAAAAAAAAACCCACATTAGAAGTGATCAATGTCTGATACCAAAGCAATTACGGTTGTTGGTTCTCTCTCTGTTTCTCTCCCTCTATCTGCACGTGTGAAAATTTCAGGCATCTAATTTACTCCTCTCCTGGGAATCCTTATGACACGGCTCCTCTTGGAAGTCATCAACAGTAAAGCAGCCAGATCTGTATACATTTCTGACCTGTGCATCTGCGTACCAGCACATGCTCGACTTGTGTTCTCCCAACACATGGCTCAGGAGGGAGGGTGATCCGCTACAAGCCACATTTCCTCAGCTGGTCAGGAGAAATTAGGTCAGGAGTTGAAACAGGTTAAAGGGGCTTTTGGGAGAGTGGTAGTTTGGTTTAGTTTCTCATGGTGTTGTAGGGATACACGAGGGGAAATTGTATCTGCAGAGACGAAGCGATAAATAAGCACATGAAAGAATAAAGAGAGTTCCAAAGAAACGCACTGACACAGATGTTTTGTCAGAATTCTCTGGGAGGTTAAAGAAGGAAAAAAAAAAAAAAAAGGACAGCACAATATGGAGGAGTGAAAAGATATGAGAAGTGGTCCCATCATTCACAGCGCAATGACAGTAACAACTCTTACATGTGGTCAACTCTGCAGTTTCCAAAAGCCTGTCGTTCTCATCCTCTGCCTTGTTTTGGCCATTTACCCTGTGTGATTTATCTGCCTGAGTCAGAGACCAGGCCAAGTTCAGATGAAGAATTAAACATTCAAGTTCGGAGTAGTCCAGGCAGGGGTCGTGTTCATGTTTATAACTTGCCAAGGGGGGGGCAACATCGGTACTTTGTCACAGACATCCGCCCTTTTGCTCTTTGATTTTTTTCAATAACAGAAAAGGTCAACAATGAGTAGGTTGGAAAATTAGAGAGCAAGCATTTAGGAACATGCAGGATCTAACTGAATAAACATGAAGGGGGAGGTGACATCTGACTGAAATGTGCACTCAAATTATGAAGGTCAAGAACACTGTGACTCTTTTTAGCGAGGCTTAATGAAGAAATAACAAAAGGGGTGTCTGGACTATGCAACCGCAGTCTTAAATTAAACTTTTTTTTATCACAAAAGCTGGATCCAAGCTTATGGGTTTGTGTTTACAGTACATAAAACGATTATTAACTAATAAAGCCCTGACGTACTGGCTCGGGTCAATTAACAGAAGTGCAACCAATGTTCATGAAAAAATGAGAGAACCCACCAGGAAAAATGAACATGAGAGAAGAAAAAAAAAACAGAGGAGGGGAAATTAGTTTTATGATCTGCAATATCCTGCCAGAACTTTTATTGGCCACTTAAGCATGTGTGACCTGCCCCCTCACAGCAAGCTGTTAAATGGTAGTGACCTTGCAGCGAGTGTTATGAACCCCTCGGTCCTCTAGTATCCCCAAAACATGCTGCCCCTGCCCCTCCCTCGACCTGAACACATATGATCTTTCACCTTACCGACACGGGAAAGATAAATCACCCAGCTGCTCCACTTGGCCAAACTTCAACATTATCTGTGGCACACATTTTTAGTTTGTTTATATGCCTTAAGTGTGTGAGTGTGAGAAGGTCATCAAGCAGAATCATCAATTTACATGGCGTATGTAAACACATGTGGTTCTGGATAGGTTTATGGAAAGAAACGTGTTACAGGATTGATTAATAACATCCTCGATTAGCCCGCGTTGTAAATTGAGGTGTGAGAAAGTAGAGACGAAGGAAAGTGTGCTGTGAGTTTGTTTGATGAAAAGCTGCGCTGTTCTGCAGTGGACGTACCCCTGAGGATGTAATTCTGGTAGTTCTGGTCAGCTTCGGCTCCGACTTTTATCAAACACGTGAGTCCTTCTGCCACCACAAACTCGTGCACCAGGTCCTTATCATCCTGGAAAGAGGTCAAGGAGAAAGAGGAAAATATTCAAGAGCCATCACAGACAGAGCCAGGGACTATATTGTTTTATTATTTATTTATTTTTATTCAGATTGAGCTACTGCAAGTGCAATGAGTAATGCAATCTGCTTGCATTCAGAAGGATTCATGTTGATTTGGTATCCCACATTTTGTCCTTTGATGACAAAACCACCTGAATCTCTCACACCTGTCGATGACTCTACATGCACACTACACTACTGCAATGTAGAAAACTAATACTGACATCAGGCCAAGTGGACACGCTACTAGACAACAAGAATCATAAACATTCTTTACAACTGAAACCATGCACAGCCACTCATAGAGTAAAAAGTGAGCTATTCTAATCTATTCTGGGCCTGCATCTGGGTCTGTTGCTCTCTTTTCCATCTAACTGTCGGTTAACCCTCCCCCTCTATGGCCGACTGCCCACCAGGCCAGCCCAGCCCAGCCCAGTGTGTGAAGTATGACCAGACCTGAACACTCCACAGCTGCCACGAAGGCAGACTCTCAGCAGCACAACTCCGCCTCAAGAAAACAATGCTGTGTCCAAGTGTGAGTGTGCATGTGGGCACTGATGCATGGGTGCACTCTATAGTTCTTGCACTTTAATGTGTGTACATGCACGGGAATATTTAAAGCCCCGGAGCACAGCAGAAGATACTTCACATGCTGACGAATGCTGCATTTTTGGAAAATTCCTAACATCACACAAAATACAGTGGAGTTGTATAAAAAAGATATATTTTTACGGTTCTGGCAGAAGCAAAAAGAGAAATAATTACCTGAAAAATCTGCTTGAGGGAAAAGAGTGCTCTCCGTAGCTCTCGTCCAGTTGAGTTGTAGAGTTTTTCTGTATGGAGTCAGAAAAGGAGAGAGTGGAAAAATCAGCTGACAGTCACACATGTGGCATCTTTCTATGACGCTGTCATAAAATGAGTGAATAAAACAAAATGACATATGATTCAGAATCATTGTGATTGCTTTTAAAAAACAAAGTGTTTATCTACTATTGTTTTAGTGTATCATGTCAATGATGAACTGCGAATGCCTCCTTCAAAATCACTTCCTTGTGTCTACTTCATGCACATATCATTGGCAGCAATTATCCCAAGTAGCTAAATGTGAAAAATATCCTGCAAGAGCAATAGTGAGAGCAAAGGAACAGTAGGAGCAACTCAGAGCACATCTGTGGAGAGTTAGTGAACAGTGGATGTTTCCTGCTGACAAAGCCATATCTGTAGCTTACCAAAATACAAAGTCATGGCAGAAACTTGAGCCAATAGCCACCACAATGGCAAAGAAACAATACACCCATTAATCAGTTATGGAAACACCACAGTAATAAAAGTAATAAAGGAGACATTTGACGGCTGACAAATGCTTGTGATGGAGGCGAACATTTCCTGCAACTACTCTGACAATCCTTCACCCTGCATGCAGTCTGCCAGGGAGTGGCAGCATTGAGCACAATTCCTGCAGCTCACTCATCACTGCTGAGTGAACTCTCTCTGACTCAGCAAAACCTCCCTGTTAATGCTGCAGATACAGCAACATACAGCACAGTCCCGTCCAGTGCAGTGCCGTACAGCTTCTGCTTTTCTCTCAACATTGTCTTTTTATTCACCCATTGCTTTTTATTGTGTTGCAAAATGCCTCTTTTGTCGGTCTTTGCCTTTCTTGCTTTTAAGGCATGATGATATGTCTAATCAGTAAAGATCAGACAGGAGACTGTCATGCACACAAGTAGGCATGAAAACAGGGAGAGAGAGAGAGAGAGAGAGAGAGAGAGAGAGAGAGAGAGAGAGAGAGAGAGAGAGAGAGAGAGAGAGAACATACACTTCACATGCAGTGGCAGTAAGTATATAGAAGCCCACTGAGAATAAAATCATAAAGTCCAACCCCTCTGTGAAAAGGACAAAACAATTTCTGGACAGGGCATGTCAACACGTCAGTTATTAAAAAAGTAAATAAATGACAGTTTAATCAAACTTTGGTTTAAGTATCTGTATCATATTTCTGGGTTAGAACTTGCTGCCATGTTCCAGGAAATATCATTGCAGGGTAAGGTTGTCCATAGCAGTGTAACTCACACTTCATATTATTGGTATAATCCACTCTACTGCAGACAGACAAGACACTGGAGATGCATCTGTAATGCAGACAGCCTAGGACTGGGCCATATGTGGTTAAAAGGCTCCCATTTGATGAGGTTGCCCACTGAAATCCAACACGTCACAATTCAGTTCCAGCAGAGTTCCTTATCTTTAGAAGATGTCTTGTTTCTAATTTAGGATTCTAATGGTATTTGGTATGAGTAGAGCAGGGCTTTAGATGTTTTGCGCATTCAGTGCCGTAAATGGCTGAGATGCATGATGAGTAGATGAGTGTTGGGCTTTTACGGAAGAGTCCTGGCCAGTCACTGAACATCCACAAGAAATAAATCTCTACTGGTCCAGAGGTATTAAGAGGGGTGGTTGTGCAATGTTGGTGATTTGTGTCTTTATAAATAACAGGAAGGAAATGTGACCTGGCCTTTTCGGCCCCCCAGCTGCGGAACTCCCAGCCTGAGCACCTCAGGGGTTGCCAAGTCACCATCATCTTTTAAATCTCCTCTCAAAACCTGACACATCTTGTAGTTTATATATTTAGTCTGAGCTTCATACAGCTGGCACTAACTGAAGCCCATTATAATGATTCTCCCATGGACAAAGTAAGGGCTAAAGTTTGTGGTTGACTCCACATCACATAAAAAGGATCCAAACCTTTTTAACAACTGCACCCTCCCATGCAGGTCAAGGTAAGAGAACATCCATTGCCCTGTACCTCAGGAAGATGACTCATTTAGATTAGTGATGTCTAAACAAAGAAGCTCTCTGATCAGTAGAGCAGAGAGACAGAGGGTTACTCATCACACCTTAAGCTTACAAAGCAAACCTGATTTGTGGTCCTACTTAAAACCCAACTTTTGAATCAGTGTGCTCTTCTTCCTCTCAAATTCTTAATTGCACTTCCTCACAGACATTGAATGTTAATCAGTGAGTCAACAGATAAATTACACCCAGCACTGCTGACACACCAATGATGATTCTGCCCTGATCACAGCACTATGACAGTGATGCATGAGCACCTGGGCTGCCACTGGGTTCAAATAAATCCTAGGAGCATGTTTCGGTGTATGTGTCCATCAGCGAAAGCATGGCAGAGAAATTCTTCCACGCAGAGATCCAGTGCCATTCGCACAAAGGCTTGTGCTCCTCTACTTAGAACTGTAGTTTGGACCGCAATAAAACTGTCAGAAAGTTATTCCTTTCCGACACTAAATGAAGCCCATCTGCAGGAACAGACAGTTCCTTCCCTGTCCCTGTCCGCAGTTCACATACACCGATGAACCTCCAAGAGGCCCATCTCTAATGAGAAATAGCTCAGTGGAGATTAGTTCCATACCATTTGGCACAGATATGCACCCAAAAGTATGGGCCTTCTGCATTTCCCTATTGAGGAAAAGAACCTAGGCACTCATTTATTCAAAGGAAACACAGAAAACTCTCATAGTAGCATTCACCTGAAACAATCTGAAACTTTAAACTAAATAGATCACTACATTTGTCATGAATTTAATATTTAGCCTCGGCAAGCATAGGGCCAGAAGAACAAAGGAATATATGATGGATAACACATAGATTGGGCACTGCAAGACATTCTGAGCTCTGGATGATGCATCTTTCAATTCTGACTGGAGATAAGCCATAATACAGATAGATAGACCAAGTCTCCAGCATGAGAGCAACTTGGTTGCTTGACATACTTATTTAATGTCAATAGGAGTTAGCACTCAAGAGCCATGTACCCATGTTGCAAATTACTCTTCATACCACAAATCAAGACACCCTTAAAATTAAAACAATGGTGGGGTGCAGCTGAGGACAAGCAGCACATTTTTACTGCCATCTTTACTTTCCCCTTAGGCTTTTACTGACAAGAACCTGACAGTGGAATGACTCAACGGAGTGAAAGTGTTTTTTGATGCCTCATATTGATACGAAACAGAGCAGATGTTTTCTCCTCTTAAACTGCAATACACAGTCACGTTTTCACAGCTGGAATGGCCACAGGGATGTAATGGTCTCATAATTATAACAATCATAAAAAGTTGTAGCAGAGTTTCTATAATCATCTGGAATGTGCCCAACTACCCGGAGTAGGAGGGTGAAGAAAAACCTGCTGTGGGGCCTGATGAATTCAGACAGGTCAGGACTTTATGGATGCTTGTGCTACTGCTGAGGGGACAACTTTTAGAAGCAAATCTGTCTTGAGCTGCTCTCGACACCTTCTGATTCTCTGTCAGTGCCAGCACATTCCTGTAATGCTGTTTCGCGTGAGTCATGAGTCACTTTTTATTTATCTCTGCATGCCAATCTCAACCCAGGACCAGTCCCCAGCACTCACTGCTGGACAGCTAACAAATTATCAAAATTTGTTTGCCAATAAAGCCATTAACCTTGCTCATTTTCCATCTGCAAAAAATGTCTAACATGCTCATACTCATCTGTTCACATGTCTGTTTTTCCAGAAAGTGCCATAAAATGAAAGGGATGACTACCACGGCTCATGCTTCACGCAGCAGGCGGAACACATAAACCACATCCAAAGCACAGCCAGGAAACCCACAAAGACCCCACTGGGCAGAACAACCCTACGCACATCGCTGTAAATTAAACTGTGTTTGCCTTCAGGAGTGGAGCTGTCAGACAAGAAGCTGAAGCGGAAGATCCCTTGCATCGCATTGATGATAGTATATAAAACTGTCTCAACAATGCTCAATCATATCAACAGCTTTCATGTGGGATGCAGAGAAGAATACAGTATGGGAACATTTCCTACCAGGCTAGGAGGAAAAATCAAAAAATGATTCAGCAAAAAAAGCTGAATAATATTTACGTATTCAACTTCCAGTATGTCATCGCCCACTTAACCAACCCTGTGTTTGCTACTGCTGTAACTAGCAAGCTAGCATAAGTAAAAACCGCATTTTCTCTCACCCCATCACTCCCACATGCATGGTCAAAGCTCAGCACAGAGTACAATGGGGATTGATCATAGTTAACTTCCCTCCCTGGAGAGAACTTTATAGCCTACAGGTGGATTCTGGGTTGGATGCAGGGCTTATAAAACCTGAATGAGTAGTGGCGGTGTTGCAGTGGTGTTTACAAGCAGCAGAAGCATTGGGAGAAGACAATAGTAGAGAATTGTCAGCTTAAATAGACTTATAGCCAAGGGTATATTACATGCAGGCTGCAGTAAAATTTGTTAATGTAGCAGTGCAGCTCAAGTTGTTTGCCTGAACTGTATTGCATCAGTTCACATGGGAGAATCCCAGTAAAGGCAAAGAACAAATAAACTACAATTTGCATTAATCAAATGGCAGGAAATGTACTGGAATGAAGGTCAGTTTGTGCTGCAAAGTTCTGCTCAAAACTGGACTTTAAGAGTGGACTTCAGTCCCAAGCCAGTGCCCTGCCCATGTCTGCATTTAGCCCCGTCTCAGAGAGGCCGGAGCCCGTTCCACTGGTCAGTAAAAGGCCACAGACTCTGTGAGAGGTGACGGCGGTCAGACTGAGCTCAGGCAAACTGTAGCCATCTGGGAGACCACAGTCTTGTGTGAGCCAGCGTCGCCACATCACTGCCTACCATGTGTAAGGATAAAGGGACCCATCTTTCATTTTTGTCCCCTAGTATTTTCATGAGAAACCCTTGAGTTTACAGTATGTGTAATGGCCCTCTGCAGTCACGAAGAGTCACAGCAGCACAACAATATCAACAGTGCTTCCTTCTCATTTTTTCCTTTTCTCC